ACAACAATGAATACTATCAAACTGAGACACGCCCTATGCCAGTTCAGAATCTCTGATCACAAACTTCATATTGAAACTGCCAGGCATTGCAAAACTCTAAGGAATGGAAGAGTCTGTAAATACTGTGATAAAAAGCAGATTGAAGATGAAAGACATTTCCTTATGAACTGCAGTCTGTACAATACACACAGAATTGAATTATTCAAGTACTGTAAGGAAATTATACTAAATTTTAGTAAATTAAATGAACAGGAAAGATTCGAGGCAATTATTAAATATTGTTCAAGAATAAGAACTGCACAACATATACAAAAATGTATGCAAATGAGATGTGAGCAACTCCACCAAAATTCAAAAATATTCTTTCCACCATAATTATGACTCTAATGTGATTTTTTTTTACCTCAACAATATTAGCTAGTACCGGTATATTGTATTGTATTGTACCGTATAAGTTTATTATGATCCTTTGCGTGTTTGTAATATTATTTAGCTTTATTTAGCATTCTGTGTAGTTGATTAACTTTACTGTATCTTAGTGTAGTTTAGTTTATTTAATCTTATACTATTTTAATTTATTTTATCTTTATTTTTATTGTTATATGACCATAGAACAACTCACTGTAGTTCGTTTTAGTGTTGAATAAATACAAAAAATAATGCCTAGGGTGGGAGGGTTTGGGTTTACATTGACTGGCACATTACTTATTCAAATACTGAATCTTAATTCATAATAGTGATATGCTGATATAGAATTTTCAACATGCATGCATTCAGTTAATAATCCAGAACAAAAAATGATAACAATATTCAGCTCGTGCTCCTCATTGAAACCAGGCACATGATGATGAAGGGAAGGGTGCTGATTTGACACCACCAGGAGATTTCATCAAGTTGTTTAACCACCTCCACCAGGATTGGTGGTCCTGAACTTCTTCAGTGTTTACATCCACCACCATCCATAGCTGCTATATCAGATCAAGTCTATATTTCCTGACAAATTCTAGGATTTCCTTGACCATTGCATCATTCTTCCTTCAATTTTAACATCTATTATGATCTCATTTATATTATCAGCCATTTAAATGACACAATCCTGCACCAAACACCAGACTTTGTTACATAACAGAATATTTGTGCACAATCAATCTCAATGCCTTTAATCTTGACTTGTGCGACAGCCTTGCAAACATGATCAATGCCATTCCTGCTGAAATTTTCAGTCAAAGACAGTCTTTTACATGCATGCCCCATTACAACAACACCAAGATCCGCAATAACTTATTTGTTGAAAAAAATAATGCAGACATGCATATCGACAATGACTATGCTACACATTGAGTTTCTTATCCACAAACAAATTTGTATCTTTACAAAAAATGCTAAAAGCAGTTTACAGTAAAAGAAATTGTTAGTACCACCAATAGGTAGATCTCAAACTCTGACAAATGCTTCACTGAACTTCGGTTATTTAATTTCGACCAGGTTTACGACGATGGCATTAAACGGGAATGTACCGGTATCATTTTTAAAATCATCATCAAAAACCAATAAGCTAGACTCGTTACTAACAAATCTGTTAGTGGATTTGATTGTCTAGATATTTTATTACGATATTTTAGAGATTTTATCAATAAATCACTGGTATTTTGCCATTTATTTGAAAAAAATACTCTACTTCAGTTAAATAGCCATCAATTTTCTAACAATCTTTTGAACCCACTATGGTCTGCATACCGATCACACCAAAGTAGGAGACAACTTTACTAAAAATCGTTAATGACCTTCTGGATGCAGTAGAGAAAGGGAACTTTGACTTTATTGGACCTTTCCGCTTGCTTTTGACACTATCGCCCACACGATTCTACAACATCGACTGAAACACACTTTTACCGGCATTACATTGTTAGCCCTTTCTTGGTCCGAGTCGTATCTGATGAGAACATCACAGACCATTTGTGTTAACGACATGAAGTCATACTCATCATTATACTGTGGTGTTCGTCAAGGCTTGGTTCTGGGACTCATTCTATTTGTCCTGTACATGGAACCACTATTTGACATTGTTAAAGCACATTCAGTGAATTGTCATGTTTTTGCTGACGACAATCAACTATATACACACTCAAATTCAATCAACCCTTCAGATTGTTCCCTCATTCATAAAACTCAAAATTTAATCTGTGCACACTATGATTATAATGATTACCGGTAGTTTGATATAAATAATTTGATATTTTTATCTAGGGCCATTTATGGAAACGGATCAATTCTTTCACCTCATTCAAGACACATGAAAGCTATACATGTGTATCATTCTCACAATTCAGACCATGTTGAATAAATTTTAATAGCACAGCTTCGCCAATCACTAGCATCACTGCATTTCGGAGAGCCATTTTTAGCTCTCCATCGATTTTTTTTTAACAAAGACTGATTATTGCTCCTTTTATTTCCAACTGTGTATAGTTACTGGTACCAAGACAAAGTTATTTAACGCTAGTTACAGACAAAGTACAAAAACACTTCAAAACATACACAGATCCAGATAAAGTTGGTGAAGTATGGTTTGAATATGAAGGCCAGCCACTCAAATGGTGAGTTATTTTTTAAAAGCGCTGTATTGTGTTCGATATGGGACCCATAGTGACAAATACAACACATGTAAAATACAATTGCACGAAGACTGTAGCACTTCAAATGAGAGTGGAACTGGAATAAAGCGGCATTGTAGAACACTCCAGGGAAATAAAGTGTACTGGAATTTGAGTGGAAACTCTGAGATTCCTTGAATATTTGTTGGTCTAGTTCTTATCTGACATCAAAATATCTAAATACTCCAGTTCAGGTTGGATGTGAAAATATTTGTACACTGTCCTGTGTTATGTGCGAAGTCAATTATTGTAAAAAATGTGATTGCTTGTAGTGTAGCGTACCAAGGGTAAAGAGGTGGGGTGTGTTTCTGGCATTAAAAAATACAGTGAAGTGCAAGCATAATTGAACTCCTAAGCTGGCTTTGTCTTTCCTTAAAAACTGTGTAAAAAAAATAGTGTTTCTTACATAATTTCCACTTATTTTTTACAGTATTCACTATAACATAACGAATTCTGCCATAAATTCAACCATCCGAAAAATCGCCCTGATTCACGACTGATGGGTGCTTATTTGGAGTTAAAAATATCATAAAAAGATCATCAAATATTTTTTTGGGGATTTCTATTTTCATTGAATCATTCAATTACGCCTACTACAACGCCGGCAGTTGGGGCCACCCAAGACGAAAGAAACTATTGCAGAAGCTAATCTATAATTTGATACATTTTTTTTTCTTGCTGAATTAAAAAGTCAACCGCCCAAAATTTCATTACAATGTCACCCAGTGAAATTATGGTATGTCAAATACATTTTATTTTATTTTATTTTATTAGTGACGAAAGTATATTCTAAACGAAGTTTCAAATAAAAACGAACACAATTGCATTGCGTAGCAGCAAATGATCACGGTTGCGCAATCCGGTCTTTCACAATTGTTGATTATTAGTCTGTAGTGATTATAATAACGTACAAAAAATAAATTATTATGAAATGCAAATAAAATTCAACTTAGTTAAATCGTAAGCAAATGATTCCAGTTGCATATAAACGCTCGATGCTGTAGAGTATCCGCCATGTTCTTTCTCTTGCAGAGTTGACCTAATAGGTAAAATCACTAATTAACCAATCAAAATGCTGGATGATGTCAATGTGTTCAAATTACCATAGCTCATTTAAATATCTTAATGTTTTTGAACCTAACACAGAAGAGATTTGTTGATGATGTAGTATGATCTTTTGGCTTGGATTTCGATGGGAAAATGGCACGATTTTTTTAAATAAAAAAATAGTTGTTTTCAAAATAAATAAATACATGTTCATTGTGTATGCATTAAACAGTGTTTATGACATGAATCTCGCCCATTTATCCCGTGACTTTGTGTGACGCAGTATTTAGTTTGTGACCATTTTGAACAGTTCAGTTTTTTAGTCCAGTGTTTTGATTTTCTCAGAATTGAAATTCACATTGTTTACAGTGATAACAGTTCATTGTCGAAACAAAGCTTACCCATTCACGCTAGTCACAATAATCATACTCTTGAAATAAAAACTTTAAATAGACTTTTTTCGGCGTCATGAAAGATTGAAATATCCGAAATATGACGCCAAAATATTTAAAAAAAACAACTTTAAAAACTGCCGAAAAATTGCCCTAGGCGATTTCTTGGTCACATTTATTTTTTTTAAAAACCCAAACTGCCGTTCAACGGCCCAGGGTGAATTTACGGCAAAATCCGGTATTTAGGAAGGATGCTGTGCATAATTTAAATATGTGATGGTTTTGAAAGTTAGTTATGCTAGTTTAAGCCAGTTTATACATGTATTTATCTAAATGTCTGTACTTGTAAGCAAAGCTGTTC